ACTCCAGATTCACCTCAAAAACGCAAAAGAGGAAGACCAAGGTTAAGTAGGAATGAGCAAATTGAAGCTGGCACTGGAGGCAGTGTGGAAGTTCTGTCTGATGACTTTATTGGCAAGTATTGCAGTCGTGTTGGTTGTACCATCAGTTGGCTAGAGAGTTTGTGCACAATGTGTATAACACCAATAAATGGAATGGTATATGAGCTAAGTGAATTTGCCAATAAGATTGCTTGGGAACAAGATTATGTTGCTGTATGGCTCTTAAGACTGTGTGGATGTACTGGTGCTATACCATCAGTAGAAGATCATTCAAAAGTACGTTTTATATTAAAGCGAAGAAAGGCACTTATGGTTACATTAGCAGGACAGAAATTTGGAAGTGCAAAACTTCAGGAATTTGATGAAACTGAATTTATTTTGCCGACAGTCAGTGATGTCAAGTTGGAAAATGTCAATGACGTGAAATTGGAAAATGTCAGTGATGAACAGTCGGATGAAAATTTGGTTAGTGACGTTAGAAGATCCAAGAGGCAAAGAGTTGCAAAACCACTTGAAGAGGTTGAGGAAATAGGTGATTGTTTAGGAGCTGATGTTATTTGCAAGGAAGAAATTATATTTCCCACAAAGCTTGAGACCATGGAAGTAAAGGAGGAAGAAGATGACAAATCATTAGTTGATTCAAGGGTTAATACTTTTCAGACACCAGGTAAGGAGTCTGTAGTTGATTCAGCCCCAAATGCATGCCAAACACCTTCAAGGACTGATGATGCAGTAGGTACGGACACTAGTGCGAGTCATGTAGACATACCAGAAGCGGGTGAGAAGAAGGACACTGGCAGCAGCAAATTCAGAGGAACACTTGGGGTTAGTAAGAGTGGCCGAGTGCGAAAACCAAGTGCCAAGGGAAGCGTTTCTATAGAGTTTAAGTACTTGTTTATGGAAAAACAAAGCCCATTTCCAGAATCCTCCACCCCTGGTGGTGCACCACAGAAAGAAGAGGATAATGATTTACAGAAATCTAATTACAATAAAAGTAAATTTGCCCATCCAAATGAAAATGAAACTCAGAAAGAACGAGCAAAAAGATGTTTCATAGGCCCGAGACATTTGAATAAATATATTGATATGGAAAACAAGCTGGTGTCATTTACCTTAGAGGATGGCCGTGTGATTCCCTATTTCAAAGAATTGGATTATAATCTAGGTCCACGCTGCTGTGCAGTAGGGCTCACAGTTGGCGATCTCAACACAAAGGACAGGCTTGATATTAAGGTCAGCAATGGGATTATCAAAGAGCTGTTTGATTTCTATGTTTCTCGTGGATCAACACTAACATCCCTGGTGTGCCGTCTCTTTTGGATGCTTGGAGTTCCTCATGATCCAGGTAGAATTTTGTCAACAACATCAAAGATAGGTATAATAGGTAGAACTCTTCAAGCAGATCATCCAAAAGCAAGTGAAATATTTTCTTTGCCAGAGAAAATGCCATACCGCATTCAGAGGCCTTCAGTGAAGACTTTGCAAAATAAGATAAAGAAGAGTGAAAAAGTATTGAAGAAATACCAAAGCTCCAGAAGGAAAGCTTTACATTCAAAACTTAAACCTTCTAAATTATTGGGTAAGAAAGTAGTTGATAAGAGATCACCCCAGGAAGAAGAACCAAGTAACATGAAAGTGAAATGTGCAACAACCCTCAATTCCCCTCAGTCAGAAGACCTTATTATGGAGGAGGAAGTGATAAAAACAAGAGGAAAGGAAGGTTCTATAACAAGAGGAGATATTGTTTACTTGTATACACAGTGGTTAAGGAATAAGAAGAAATTAGGAAGTAATGTTTTTGTCACAGATCTTTTGAAAAATGTGGAGCAACTTATGGCAGAAAGAAAGGTTAAATTAATACGGGTCCCTGCAGGGACTCTGATGTCTTCATCAGTCAAATTGTATGATGAATATAAGCAAATGTGTAATATAAACAAGGAGGATGCAATGATGTATTTGGAGGATGACTGGTTAGAAGACATTCAGTACCTGTTATCACAGTCACGGCCAATTCGTAGGAGCACATTTGAAGGTGACAGTACAAGCTGTAAGACTGACCCTGAAGATACTGGATCGCACCACAGTATTGGGGGAGAAGTCAGTGATTCAGATATTAGTGAGAGGAACTTAATAATTGATGAGGGATCTGATGAAGGAAAACAGCAGTCAGGTGCAGACTTGAAGAAATCACATGCAGCCAATGAACATCCTGCATCAAGAGGTGTAGTTTCTAACAAAAAATCAATTGTTGAAGATCCACCACTTTGCAAGAGAGAAGAAACAATGTTAAGGAAAACGAGACTTAAATCATATAAGAAAAGTTATTATGAAGAGTTTGTATCAGATTTTGAAGATCCTGATTCAGAGGATGAATTTTCAAAAGAGAAGTCAGTTGCTGCCCATAGTTCAAAAGGACAAGAAAAAAAGATTTTAAAATCTGAAAATAAACCTAACACAAATATTCAAGGAATTACTTGCAGTTCTTCCAAGGAAGAGTATGAGGTTGAGAAGATTCTTGATTTTCGCTACATCAGGGATAAGGAAAAAGAGAGATTACAGTATCTTGTTCGTTGGTCTGGTTTTGCCCAAGATGATGATTCTTGGGTTGATGAAAATGACCTTGACTGTCCAAAGATCCTGGATGACTTTTGGGATGCAGAAGACTTTTGTAAGAAGCCAGATAGGTCAAAAGTCCGTGCCAACAAAAGAGAACAAAATTTATCAAGACATGAGGATGATACTAAAACCCACTATACACCTTGTAGGAAGGGAGAATCGGACAAAGAAAATGGTGGAGACATTTTGGAGGTTTTGTTGCGCCACACTTCTGTGAAAAGACCTATTAGCCGTCCAAGAGCAAGGAGAGCGTCTCAGTCCCACGTGTCAGTACAAGAGATATTAGAGTTGTATAATACTTGGAGAAGAGACAACCAAAATGTTTTAATGGCAGGTGGCTCAAACACTGTTAATGTGGACACCCTTGTGAAAAGTGTCAAGAAATTGATGGCTTCCAAAAAAGTTGACAATTTTCATCCTGAGTCACTCTTGAACGCTTGCTTTATGATGACTTTAATTCGAACGAGGCTGAAGTCGGAGGAAGCTTTAAAGCAATTCTTAGATAGTAGCTGTTTGGATGTATTTGAGGCCAGTCACAAGCAGCAGGTGTCAAGTAGAGAGAAGCATAAGTCACAGGAAGCAGTATTAAAGAGAGCAAACTCAGATAAGAGTACAAAGATTAAGAACCTTCAGAATGAATTACAAGAGTTGCAGTGTAATCTAACCTTGGCAGAAGGAGCAAGATGGGATAGTAGATGTGCTCTTACAGTGGCAGAAAGTGAAGTAGAGTGTTTAGAGAACATTTGTAGGGATGCCAAGAAGGATAACAGTGACATTGTTTTAAGCTTGCAACATGAATTAGAGAGAGTTAGAGAAAATGTAAGAAGCTCTGCAATTAAAGGTTACAGAGAAAATGAATTAAGTGAAGGAAAGCCAGCAAAGACACAGTTATTGGAAGAGAAAGCAGCAGGATGTGGTAAAACTGTTAATTTAGACGATGAAGTAGTGCTAACAGGAGCTAAAAAGGAACTGACTAAGTTAGGGATACAAGAGGATGAAGTTTATAATGTCATGGAAATGGTTGTTCACAAGGTTGGTGGACACATACTAAGAGCCCGCCCACAGAAAGTGGGGTTGGCAAACTCTGTCTAGTGTTTTTATTGGTAGATGCTGGCAAGAAGCAAAGATTCGGACCAGTAAATACGCAGTTTTATTTTTATCTTATTAACAGTTCTCGTTCTACAGTTGATAAGAAACATCAACTTGTGAGAAGATTGTCTTTTCAGGAATTTTTGTCATGGCTTTTATTTTAATATCATGTGGCTAGATATTCAGAAGAAAAAATTATATTTTATATTTACAAGTCTAATTTTTGTTCGACATCAAGAAACTGTAGTCTACATGCTTGGCACGTAATTTGAATAGCTCCTATGGTTGCTGTGATTATGTATTAAAAAAAGATTAATGTATATACATATATATATGTGATTCATTATATTTTAACAACAATTCATAAAAGACCTTCAAGTCAAGTAGTCACAGATTGATAAATAAGTTATCAATGAAAGTACAAATAGGTTTTAAGGAAGAATATATGGTGAATAAAGAAAAAAGTATTGTGAAAGCAAAATAGAAAATTCTGGATTATTTGCATTGTTGAGAGAAGAGGAAGTTTATCACGCTAGAAAAAGGTTTGTACGAGAGAAATGAATTTATTCATTAGTTTGACCAATGCAGATGTTTCGTTTTATTAATTTTAGTAACCATGGTGAATACATGAATTGTTTTTAGTAAAAAAGTGTCCTTTTGAATGTTCTGTGCTTTGTAAATGAAGATGAATGTGTTTTTGATAGTTTGATAAATTCTTATTATTTGATATTTTAACTGGAAGTCACCATATATTTTAATGAAAGGAATGATTTTTCACAATTTGTGATGATTTTTTTGCATTTGCTTTAAAGAAAATTTATTGGGTCATAATTTCTTACTAACTATTAATCTTGAAATTTATCATATACTGATTCTGATAAAGATTTCAGTCCTGTGTTCTTGTTTCTTATAGCTCTGAGTGGAAGTCATGGCAGCATCACGTGAGCGCCGTAACAATGCTGGGGCAAAGATGTCCCAGCTGCTGGATGAAGAAGAAGAAGACGATTTTTACAAGACCACATATGGAGGTTTTAGTGAAGAAGCAGATGATGTGGACTACCAGTAAGTAGATTGTCCTCAGTAATAATCGTTCAGTTACAATTCCTTTTCATTTTTGAGTGTAGATGCTTAATTTCCCTTTATTTGGAATATTCGCAGACATTTATTGTGTTTTTCAGGTCAGAAGTTGAACAGGATGATGAGGTGGACTCTGACTTCAGCATAGATGAAAATGATGAGCCAGTTTCTGATCAGGAAGAAGACAATAAGGAAGGCAAGAAGAAACGAGGCAGACTGATAACCAAAGCATATAAGGTATTTCACCCATTCAGATTTTTAAATGAGTTGAATATCACACCTGTTTTTTTTTTTTTTTTTTTTTTTTTTTTTT